TAACCCGCACTGGATGGTGATACTGGTAGTCCTGTGCACAGGTCTGTAAAAATGTAGGTATTCGTTTACCTACCATGTCGGGTCTGTTTATGGATAGGGTGTGGTGGGTGTGGTTTGAGATACGCCCTTTGATTTTGGGTGCTCCTCAGCAAGTTGAAAACTGGACCCAAATTAATTAACGTTGAGGACGTCAAAACAGTCGCGTATATACGCGTATATACCTCAACTATGGGAGCCATCATGTCCTCGTAAATATCACTTTTAAAAACAGCTATGTACGCAGGAATAGTTGATAATTCTACGCTCGTCTGCATGTTTACGTGGTCTGTATGAACGTGATCAACTCTACCTGTAAACATTTCAATCCAAACGCTGTCTTCACATTTGTATGTCCATCACCGCTGCAAATCACGTTGAAAACTCGCCCCAGCTCGGCTTTCTCGGCAGCATTAAACACAGCTTCATATTTGCTAGAGCACTCTTCAACTTTACTCCCTTGTCCTCCCATCTCTCCTGTCACTTGGGACACGACTCTCTCAGTTTGTGGAACCAACAACAGTCATATGAGCATGAATCGTGCGTGAAATCGTATGCAAGTGCACGTATGAATGAAGGAAGACGCCGAATGACTTCGGTTGAACTTTCAAACAATTGAGACCCCTTAACACGGTCCTTTTTCTTGCAAAATACTTAATGTGTGCAAACGTGCAACGTTTAGATATCACATGATATTGTTTTGACTGTGACTAGTATACGCAAAATCCACGCAAACAAGAGAATGATCATTTGATAGATTCAAGATTAGATGTATACGTAAATAATTTTGCGTAGTTTTGTTTTTTGACTACACTTTATATATATATTTTTTTGCTGTGTCACTTGAAATGAATAAAATAATTAATATTCAGATTGTCAATTTAATACGCACAATCTTTCTTGTGAGATTTTAATAGATATTATTTGTTGTAACCCCCCACAAACATCATGTTTTGAAAGGAATTGAAACACACGACATATTTTAAATACTTTTTCACATATAAATTCTTTTATTTGACAAAAGTCGTGATTTATAATAACAATACTTGTATTATTAAAACCAAACCCTTACAAAAATACTTATACTAATGTCGAACTAGAAACAGGATCAGATTATCCATATATCATAAGTATCATAATCCAGGATTATTAAAAATCAAGACCTTAAAATGCAGTCTAGTACTGATAATAGTACTATACTGGAACCAGGATAAGACGATTCACACATACATATATTATAAATATTATCAATACAATATTAGTATCGCGATTAAAATGGGAAAAGATGATACATGTATGATTATAATTGTTAACAATACATGTAATATTAAAACCAAACTCTTAAATACATTACTGATACTAGTAGGGTGGAAACGTAATCTGACGAACTACATATCATATTAACACGCCACCAATTGTAGGAAGAAAAACAATCAAAGTGATTTTTCAATAGAATTTTCTATTATATTGAAAATTAAATAACATTTACTTAATATACCTTTATATACCATACCCGCTAGTAACGCTTCTGTGATGGCACAGTTACGTCGTTGCTTATGAAAAAACAAAGCAACAGCAACGTTTGGTTGTTGAGTCGTCCATTGGAAACTAATAAATCTCGAAATGTTTTGACGGACTGCATGAACTTAAAGTTTATTGATTGACTGTCATTTATTATATAGACTGGATATTAACAATAACTACATCATATACCATATACTACACCGAACTCTTGAAAATATGCCTCCCTGACAAGTTGGATGTTCTTTAAAACTGCAAATACGATATTAGAGGGTTTTGAAAGACAGGTAGCATTGATTTGATCTAGGGTTACATAATCTATAGTATAGGCAACGTTTTTATTCCAGGTGAGTCGTCTGTTTCATGTAATCCTTCACTTTTTCTGTAGGATCCTGTCAGCTCCAGTAGCGCCGATGCCTCTGCATTAGAATCCAATATACTGCCGGTACGTGGGTGTTCATACTGAAATGATAATACAGTTATGTAATAAGTAAATATTACTAATCATCATTGCAAATTAAAATGTTAATAATCACCAGTCCAATCACAAGTTCCGTTTAATACTCTGATTGAATATTCTATATCTAACGCACGTGTTGATTGGTTGATAATTGATTTACCTCTAACATGGAGGGAGGCGGTGGTCCAACTCCCCATACTTCTACGCAATCAATATTAAACTGTTCATTACAAGAGAGTTGATCATTGTTGTACGTCGTTGAGGGCATGCTATGACCAGTAACGAAATCACCATCAATCCACAAACCAAAATATTCAAAATGGCCACCCATTCCCTGTGGAGCAAAAGAACAAAGTGCACATATGATAGTTTTGCAAGTTTTCATTAAAATTTAAAACACGTCTTGAAAAAGGCTTCAATCGTATTTATATTACCCAAGCATGTGACGTAACACACGTGGCTAAAGATTGCATCATCACATCATTATTTCCACAAGCATGTCACATAGCAATGATGCTTCATTTAAGTTCTCAAAATAGTAATATCTAATCTCTTAGCACAACACTATATCAGGAAATCTTTGTTAAAACATGCCAACAGTACCTAACTATCACTCAACATAGAATCAACGAATTACTCAAGGTTTTAACATAGTAACAAGGCATCACTCAGGTTTTCAACATAGAAGCACTGTATTTGTGAAGCAGTTTGAGTGGCTATTTTTTTCGTGGAAAATCTATGGTTCACTTCGTCTTTATATTGTCTGAATTGCGGTTGACTTACCAAACCACATGGCAAAGTAGAAACTTTATGATTTATGTATTGGTATCTTGTATTCTTACCAGTGGCATCAAATAATTCCATTACTGGTTTTGTGCTGAATAAAAAGTTAATTGCCGAACCTTAAAAAATAATGCAAACAAGCAAAAAAAAAATAATCAGTGAAATGTTATCATCAGATCCAAATAAGTAATTCTCATTTTCCAGTGAAGCCTATTGGTGATATTCATTATCTATGACCCATCCAATGCGCCATTGTGACGTCACAAACGAGCTCCATCACTAGAGGGCGCAACCTATGTATGGAGTATCGTGTCCAATAAAGTCATCAACGATCTGTTTAATGCAAGATGCTATCACCACGTCAAAATTGAGCCTACTTGAAGTTCCCTATAAATAATACATATTCTTTTTAAAAGTTGAATTAGCCTAGGACCCATGCAGTGGTATCCACTGATGTCTGATTACGGTGTTTGTACTATCTTATAACAGTCAGTTATTCCGATCGGGTGCCTATGATGAAGTAATCCGCCAGTACACGTGCTGGGCATGAATGAACCACGGAGCGTTTCAGCTGCATTGTGGAATTTGAAACGTTCTAACTAGCGTGAGTACCAGTGAAGTATGAGCAAAAAAAAAACTTATATTCAATAACTCAAGAGTCTTCATGTCACTAAAATCGGTGCAAATTTTCTTGATTTGTTCATATTTATTTTAGAGAATATACCGTAAAATTGTGTGCTAGGTTGCCAGGATTCCTCAGAAAAGCCACCGAACACATGCCCATCTGTATCTCGTATTATCAATAGAGTCGGCCCTTTGTGGCAGATGTCCTTCACCATTGTGTTAAAGCTCTCCCCGTGCAGACGACTTGAATACAGTAGTCTCCATTCTGCCTGTAGGCGGCGCGGTAGATGATGATTTAAGAACATAAGGCATGGAATGTTCAAGAGTGTATTCAACTTTGACCACGAAAACGTAATATCTTTACAGATTGGTATCATCGCGGCAAACCTTCTGTACGTGAAGGTATCATCGCTGCTTCGTTCACCTCCAAAATCTCCAGCCTTGGAAGAAAGCAACAGATATCCATTAATCAACAATAATGCAAACCCTCTCTGTTTTTTGGTGACGTTTTTTTGTTTTGAAGAATTTTACTAAATACATGAGCAATGCATTCTGGGAGATTACAGATGAAATACAAAAAAATCTGGGAAAAAATAAAAAAAAAATAATGAAACATTTTTAATAGGACTCACTTTACAAATAATATAATATCCTTCCATAACATGGCAAAATTTCAGAATATGAAGAGAAATTTCCGAATTGTTCAGTTCACCCCATTTTCTGTATCCTAATAGCATTATAGTCATAATAACGAAATGACATATGACCTTCGATTCGGCCCGATTGCCCCCCAAGTACTTCCTTCATTATCATGAGCATATGGCTCATAAGTCATTGAAGTATACGAATTTAATTAAAGCAGAGGAGTCGTCGCCTACGCATGCGTCAGATGGCCATAGCGTGTTATTGTTTACTAACAAGTACCCATGAGCCTTTGCGTTTTTAGCGTGTGTTGGGACTCCTGCGCGTGCGCATGTGACAATCCTCCTGCTTTAAACGTTTAATACGTCGTTAATTTTGTTTCAATCATAGACCTTAAAAGTCAAGGTCTATGTTTCAATTTACCTTTTCTTGATGAATTCCGAGTGCGAATCTAAATACTTCGGCAATGAGTTGCGGAATTCGTGGGCGGTGATTAGTAAACCAATATAGAATATCTTCTTTAGTGTAATCTTCAGTTGGCAGGTCCACTGTTACTGTTAACACCGAAACAACAACAAGAATGAATGAATATAAAAATAATAAACATCAGTGGTGACCTATGGCACGGATTCACCTGATGTACCCCGGGGTGGTGGGTAATTATATAGGCGTATATGTATATGTATCGGAATGTCTTTTGAGTTTTCAGCCTCGAAACCTAAACCAGAACCCGTAGCTGAAAAAACGTTTTTCAAACTTAAGAAAATCGTTATTTCTGGTGAGAAAATCATATAGGGTCTATAACAAAATCAAAAACTAAAAACGTTCTTCTTCTTCTTCAAAAAAAAAAAAAAAAAAAAATCGGCATTTCTAAAAAAAAAAGGTAAAATGAACACCAACAAACTTTATTCTGCATAATACAATTTCTATTTCTGATAGGATATAACCTATGGTAAAATAAAAAACAACAACAAACATTCTCCAAGTTTACTTAATTATTATTTTAGTTCTTATTTATTTCATAATATCATGTCTTACCAGTGCTAGGACGTCTAGGCATATCACCCAATGGCTGCTCAACATCTGTGAACAAAGTAAATTAATTAACATATAAAATAATAATAATAATAATAATAATAATAATAATAATAATAATAATAATAATAATAATAATAATAATAATAATAATAATAATAATAATAATAATAATAATAATAATAATAATACAAAGTAAGTTAATATAAGATATAGACAAACAGACCGATTGAGTTAGGGTCGGTCGGTCAGTAAATCAATGTATTCACCTCTCCAGAAAAGATCTCTCAAAAGATATTTAGCAAATCTCCGGTCAGCTTCATGCATGAAATCCAGATCCCAATATTTCTTTTCAATAACGGGATGTAGTTCGTCTTCAATATAATGAAGGAAGTCACTGATAAACTGAAAATCGACAAAATAAGTATTTCTTGAGATTACATAACAAAAATCTTATTGTCAGACTGTAACGTTCAATGTTAAAGCGGGAGGGGCGTCACCTGCGCACGCGCGGGAATTGAGTACGTTAAAACGCAAAGGCTCATGGGTAGACGCTTGTTTGTAAACAATGTCACGCAATGGCCATCTGACGCATGCGCAGGTGACGACTCCTCCGCTTTAAATATATAAACGTGATGCTGTTGTTGGACATTCAAGAGCATCATACTTTTTAATACAAGTATACGGTGATCCAGACATTTTACTGACATACTTCTAGTGAAAGCATCATGATGAAGGAAAGAAAATTTGATTTTTATTTTGAAAGAATTCAGTGCTGGTTATAATAGCACCTCCATATTAGGAATTATATTAGTACTTACAAAATACATTTCTTTTGATGTAACTTTGTCTTTATTTCCTGAAGCCAACATCATCGCAATTTGACATTGTTGTTCTAATGTACCTTTCAGCAGTTGTGATAGTGTAATTACAAAGGCTTCAAAAGTCACCGTCTTGTGATGACTACCCATCTCAGTGAACAATCTACTGATGACATGCTCGTCTGTGACTTTATCCCCGATATACGCCTACGTAAAGCAATAAATAAACCCGTAAATAAACAATTAAACAGAAAGTAAATAAACACATACACAAATAAACAAACAAACAAACAAACAAACAAACAAACAAATAAATAAATAAATAAATAAATAAATAAATAAATAAATAAATAAATAAATAAATAAATAAATAAATATAATAATATATTTGTGATTACGTTGTTTCAATTGATAGAATTTTGCTGTGTTTCAATGATCGATATGCAACATCATTTAATTTGTTTTTGTTAGTATTTAGTTATTAAATAGGAATTTGAGAAAACCATTATCATGGTTCGAAATATATGTATATAAAAACAACAAAAACAAGAGTTCCGATAGTTTATCAAATTGAATAAAGCATTCATGTTGATGATTATGATGTACATACTGGATTGGTATGTTGTGTAAGCCAGGGAAAAGAAAACATTACGTGTTTACGGTGCATATCTACACAAGGGATTATGACTGGTTATGATGAACGATTCGAATTGCTCCCATCTTTCATCGATTGGTCAATAATTCTTGGCAATCATGTTAATTCATATAATGACAAACTAAGTGAATGGTACGAATAAAAAAAAACACAACTATTTTATAGTCATAAAATAATGCACACTAGACTGTAAAGACTGGCGTCATATTTTGTATAGTAGGCAAATGTTTGAACTCATGGTGGGTGGCTAGAAGTGTGTAAACGTTGCAATTTTCGCGTTGTTTTTTAATTTTCACAATTTTGATTTTTGATTAGTGAGTTTAAATTTAAGTTTATTAGTGAACATATCGAAATTGGTGCGTCTATAGTATGCAGAATGAGAGCGAGAGTGTATTCAATTTGTTCTCCCTTACGCAAATTGCTTCAGATGAATATGTATATTTTCAGTCTTGCTCAATAATTATGTCATAGCCAAGAAGCAAATATAGATGGAATACCTGGAAGGAATCTAGGTCAAATGTTGGTTTTATTTGTTGCCTAGCATTGGCATCACCTGTCTTACAAATATCGTTGAATACTCTCTCCAGTTCCCTTTTCTCATCGGCTGTAAATAACGCTTGGCACCTCTCAAATTCCTCATTTCGAGCACGTCGGCTTGAGCGTTTCTGAAAAATAAAATACGTCTGTCACTAAAATACATTTTTACTACTATTAACACTAATACTATTTTTTTAAATTACGTAATACGTGTATTCTTTGTTTTAGTTCGTTTGACAAGTTTTTTTCTTCTTTAAATTTGCGCTCAGAAAGAAATTAACCTACTGTATAACAACTTAGGGAGCCTCGTTAGTTGTGTCAAAGGTTATTAAGTATGGCAGCAAGAGATGTGACTAGTGGCGCAGACGACGAACTAACTGAAAATGGGGGGAATTTACAGAATATATTGGTTGACACTGTTCTCAATCTGGAAAAGTTGGAGGTGAATCTTTATAGGTAGGTGGATTTTTTTTCCTTCACATTCTGTGACTCGTCAACCGTATCGTGGTATGGTACGATATAACCCCGGAGAGAGCGTGTTTAGGTGATTTTGGCTTTTGGCGCACTCCACTTTACACGTCAATGGAACGGGTGCTCCCGATCGAATCCGTGGACAAAGTCCATAGTGACATTTCGATTTATAGATAACCTGTTATAAACGCCATAATATAATTGACAATATGAATTTAATAGGCTATAAATGCTGCAATGACCTTTCACCTGTACAGAGCAGTAGGTAAGAAGAAAAAAGTAGATCTAGGTCGTCAGTGTTAGCAATCTTCCGATCCCATCATCTATGGGTTTGGTTGGAACTTGAAATGAAAAGCACTGTTGTGAAAATTGCCAAATTCACAACCCCTGGGGAGAGAAAATTAGGCAAATTTTCACCAAAAACAAAACAAATAAACTACATTTTCCTGCAACCCTTTGGCATTTAATAAGTTCTAACATTATATTTGTAAAACCTGGATATTGCCCCACCCCCTCACCCACTCAGGCCTAATTTGTTGACAAATCCTGCCTCCCCCCTTATTTGTCTTGTTTCACCCAAGGTGAGAGGAGTTGGGGATAACATTGACTAGTGCAGAATGGCAGGGAGTTGTGCTATCTATCTATCTCTATTTTATGATTCAAGGCCATTATTTAAACATATGCATATCATCAGACAATACAACCTCATTATACTGGTGGCATTGTATTAGATTTATTTTAATAATATGAACAAAATTATTGATTATTTTGAAAAAATGTTGGTGATGGCTGAAATTTGGGAGGACAAGCAAAATACACAGTTAAACCACAATTATTGAAGCATTATATATGCCCACTGTGCATACATAGTCTGTTGTCTATTTATTGATTTAATATATAATGTATTTCAAGACTGACTGTAAATCATGGTGTTCAACTGAGCTACAAAAAACCTTTTAAAAGATATCAAATTAGCTCAATCATCAAATTTCATTGTTGTTTGTGTCTCCCAGGAACGTTTGTTTCACAGAGTTACTAATTATTTACTGCTAAATAAATGCAAATTAATTAAAAAACTTGTAATGATCCCAAAATGACTACTGTTTATATAATCCACTTAATACTTACCCCTGCCAAGCCGCACGTTAAATAGGCAGCTAAGCTGCGTTTATCTCGACCCATCTGAGTATATCCAGTGATAAATCGAGAGAAAAATACCAGAATCTTTACATATTGTGTGACACACAAACTCTAACTTATTTCTGAATGATGGTGATTGGGTGACTGATAAATATGAACTTTGAACATTCTTTTGCTGGTTGATGATCAACAGAAATGCCATCAGAATAACCTTTTACCTCTCTATCAGATTGAAACATCTGCTCATTTCCATAATGGCATTACAGTGCAATTCAAAACTGTCTGGATTCTTGTCATTTCAGTTTGTGAGTTTATGTCTTTTAATTACCTGTGAACTTCTGGACTGGGACCAATCTCCTTGCTAAGCAAATTTTGCATTGAGCAACTACTATTTTCACAAAGAAAGTCGTTGTAGGACAAGATTTCTCACACTTGATGGAGAAATTTCATCCCACACACTTGGGAGATGTTGGATTCCGTTAATCCTAATTAACTTCTTTAAGTAAGTTTTGTTTATCACATTCAAAGAGCTTGTGTAGAGTGAAGATATCCACGACCATACCATCTTTTAAAATTTCACATTGACATTGATCTTGATCATTGTTAAAAACCCCATTAAACATTGCATTACTTCACACTTCAATGTTCCAGAACATCTTGGGAAGGGGGAGGGGACTTAGGAATTAAATCGTCATGCCCAAATATTTATGATGGCAGTATTGTGTATGTGATGTACTTCTGAGATTAGGAACATGTTATGATCAAGTGTGAACTTCCTATAATTTTGCTATGTTTTTGTGTTTTTACAGAAGCAGTAATCATTGGAAACCATTGCTGAATACACATAGAATATTTGGGGGTCAAGTAGTGGGTCAGGCATTAGTTGCAGCTGGCAAAACCATTGATGAACAACTTCATGCCCATTCATTGCATGCATATTTTGTAAGGTCAGGTAAGAGTTTTAAATAATATAGAGTGAATATACAAGAGTCATATCTTCAACCACAACAAATATCATATATACTATATTGATTGCTTTCTAAAGATTTGTAAAAACACAAAAAACTGGTATCCAAAATAAAATATTACAAGGTAAACCCCTCTAGTGGCAGGTTTTGAAAATCTTTTGTTTTTATAGCATGGAATGGATAAAACTCTTACTTTGTACATGTGTTACAATTTTCATTATTTTTTTTTTTTTTACTAAATAAGCACTGTTTTGATTATTATGTTACACCATTTATTCTTCATTTGTATAAAAGAGATGCTTATTACTGACAATTATTCAATTGTTGCTTATGTATATTGTAATTTAAATAATTTGCACATTACCGTATTACCCCGGGCACGCGCCCAGGGGCCTGAACATACAAAATCGGGGGAAAATGGGGGTGGGCGCTTACCCGAGGACCACCCCAAAAAAGATTTTAAAAAGTTGTTTTTTTTGATCGTATGATAAGGTCAAATAAAGGAATGCTTTCATACACTTTGTACACGTACTTATTTCTTGATTTATGCGAGGTTTCAATAAACGTGAGCACTCGGTCAAGAACTGTGGGAACACTAAGACACTGGGTCGAATTTCAAGAATAAAACTTGTTTTATGTCAGCGAATGAAGTTGTATTACTCACTGAAATTGGCTACAAATTATGGTAAGTATTGTAATCAATGCACGGTTACTTTTTTAGTAACCGTGATCAGTGCATGCAAGTCGAAACGGCCGGGAAAGATGGCGATGACCTCATTAGCATAATTTTGTTCACGCACGTATTGATACATCGCATCGTAATTACTGAAGAATAACAGACAAGGTTATGAAACAAATAAACCTTTTATTACTGATGTGAAATGTTTACACACTATTGTGAATACATAAACATATCCAAATGGCGATACATAAAAAACAGACTGAAAATAAACTCTGGTCGACCTCATTAACATGATTTATTCACGTACCCACACACATGACAAAACTACAAAAATAACGATGATGCAACAAGTTCCCCTCGTCGGCTTGCCTCATTATGGTTATCGTAATGGACTTGAGGTCGGCAAAATGTTTTTTCTTCAACGACAGAAAAATAATCCACATGCTGTGATGAAGGATGGAAAGAAAGTAGCAAGTTTACGACGTGATGTCTCAAAAGTGCTAGCTCCCATTATGGATTCACAGTCAGCGAAATACTACGCTTTGAAACCAAGGCTAAGTGCTTCAAACCACTCACCAAGATATGGATCGTTGAAATATTGCAATATTGGATTCATCGTGAATGAAGAGAAAGCAGAACGTGTGCGCCACATGCTGCATGGTTCATCTTACGTCGTTAAGTTCCAATGAGTTTTTACGTAAAAACACAAACAAAGCGGTCCTTTTCAGGGCCACCACACACTCCAAAAAGAGAACTACCGTAACAAACACACTATTTAAATAAATTGAACGCGTTCGTTTTTGACAAATAAAACTTTATTGTTGACCCTGTTCTTGGCTAAAAATCACCCTGGGCGTTTAACCGAGGATGTCCCCAACATGCAACTTTTGTGAAAACAGGGGGGTTGGGCGCTTGCCCAGGGAGGGGCGCGTGCCCGGGGTAATACGGTATTTCAAAGTTTTGATATTGACTCCCATTCTTTACATACAGGCCAGAATAAAAAAAAAAATCATGGTTAATTTATGCTATAGCTGTTGTATTTCTATTGGTCAACAGTGATCCTGTTAATTCTCAAATCTTTTCTGATGTTGACTCCCATATATACAGGTCAGAATAAGAAACCAGTTGTTTATCAAGTAGAAAGAACCCGTGATGGAAACAGTTTTGCAACTAGGACTATAAAAGCGATACAGAATGGTGAATCTATATTATCAATGCAGGTATCCTTTACTAAGGCAGAATATTCAAAGTTTCAACACCAGTATAAAATGCCAGAAGTTCCATTACCAGAAGAGTTACAGAGTGAAGTTGAACTCACTCAAAAACACCTTGATGAAAATTCTCAGTAAGTTTATAGAATGTTTATCTCTACTTGATTTTATGAGGCCCTGGTCATTGTTTGTTTTCCCCCATCCCTTGTCCATCAGCTTTTCGTGTAAACATTGCATTACTGTGCAGTAATATTTGTATTGTACCGTCAATTTTTAGTACCGGTATTTATTTTAATTCACTTTAAAAACCAACAGCCAAAAAGATTGATACACAAGTTGCTCTGTGACTGGTGGGCTGTTACCAGTGTTTGTTTACACCACCATCTTGGGATGGACAGGGTGTTGCTAACAGAGGCAGCTCGATCAGGAGTAGTTGCTTCAGAGACAGAACGTCTTTACAGTTTTAGTTGTGTAAAATTGTAAAATTGTGAGTTTTGTTAATCAAGTGAATTTCTCTCTTTGGAGTTATGGAACTAGGTTTCTAACTAGTGACATCTTTGCTGGGTTGGTGTTATTTATATTCACTTGTCAGCTGCTCACTCAAACACTACCATGAATCCTGCTATAGCAAAATGATGTGGATGTGCAAGACAGAATGTATGCAACACACATGCACACACCAGCAATATCCTTTGAGTCCCCAATAATTTACCCAAATTGAAATTATTACAGATATATTGTGTAATTGATATTTCCTGTTTGGTTTATCTGCTCAGTTCAAAACAGTGTGCATCAAGTTGCTGCACTTCCATGGCGGTGTTTTAGAGGGCAGTTGATAACAGAATGTAAATATTGCCAACTCTTACAATGGCATGGGTCCAGGCTAGTGGTGTTTTATCACATAATTTCATTTCAAGATTATCTGTGTTTTCATTTCAAAAAAATCAATATTGTATTGTATATTGTGTTCTTTGTTTTGCAGTTTATTCCCAGACAGATTAATAGAGTATATACGTAAACGTCAGGCTCGCGAAATACCGCTAGAGGTAAAACCAGTTTCACCTCCATTACCAATAATGTTTCAATTCATGTATGGTGACACAGATTATCCCAGAAGAATGATGTGGATGAAAAGTAAAGGCATTATAGGTAATATTTCATCTATCTTAAAGAAATACTGTCACCAAAACTGGGCATGTAATCACCAAAATATTTACATACCCAGTGTACAAAAATTTTGTATGCACTTGTTTTATGAAGATGAACAAATAAAGTAAATTTTAAGTTAAGTTCCAGCAATATTTTGTTTGTAACCTTTGATATTTTGAGTAATAAATGTAGCAGCCATGGTATTTGCAAGCTATCTATCTGTCTTGCCAACATCATTGAGCAGTTCAGTGGATTTGATTGTAATTGAGTTTTTGACATCTTATTGTTTCATCATGCACCAAATCGCACACAAGATGTTCTGTTCCAATGTTCAAAGATGGAATATATGACAAAAATAATATTCGATGTGAAGCAATTTTCTTCAAGATTAGTCTGAGACTAAGACTCTGGACTTGTTTCCTGTATAGCCATTACGCCCCCCCACCCCCTTTCAAATTTATAGGACGACTATTTTACTTGTGTTACAATAGTGAGTGAACTTGGAACATCAGGCATTACATACTACCTAGGTTAGTTGTATTCGCTGATGTCTTGGTTTTTTTAGCCTCACTCAAAGCAGAATTTGGACAGCAATGCATGACAGGATTTATTGTAGTGAAGAATAAATAACTTAGTTGATAAACAGCGCAAAATATCAGCTACTGATAGTACAGTGTATATATAACCGTACCGAATACCGTAACATTCAAATTTGATTTTTGGTCAAGTTACCTGTACTCAAAAAAGGGCTTTCAACTAAGTTTTGTCAAAGATATTATTCTGTAATTTTCTTTGTTTCTTAAGTCTTGAACTTTTGGTGTTACATGTATCTACTTTAATTGTACAGACTTTGTTAGCAGTGAGTATTTCAATGGTACCCTTCAGACAGGATACCTAGTGGCTTTTGTAAAATTTGGCAATGTGTACACCTTCAAATTATGAAGTTACAAATATTTCTACCATTGCCATCAGCTGTGTTTTTTTTATCCCATTTCATTTAATACTGGGTTAAAATGACAATTGTGATACTGTACATTTATTTCCACTGGCATTTTAATTTCACATTTTTGATGTTTTGAGCAATTTCACTGGGTTCGTATGGATTTAATTTAGTGGATTTTACTCGCCAGCGAAAATAGAGAAATCAAAAACTAGTTAATAATGAGTTTACAGTAATATAATATGTCGGCTCACATGTATATACTTACGGTAATAGCATTCAAATAGCTAGCTAGATTAAAAAAATAAAAAACGCAGCTCATATGTATAGAGAAAAAAGTGAAAACAAAAAATGTGTACACTGAAGTTGATATACTGTATCAATATCTAGAAATATAATGGGAAAGTTTACATTTACGATTTATTTATTTACAGGTGATGATGAGCATTTAAATCGGTGTACAGTTGCCTATATGTCAGATATGATGCTGGCAAGTACATCCTGGCTGTCTAAGCCACAAACCAATATATCTATGATGACATCATTAGACCATTCCATGTGGTTCCACTCACCATTCAGAGCTGATCAGTGGCTGTTGTATGAATGTGAATCACCTCATACAGGTAATGATTGTAATGAAGTTGTGTTTGTCTTGATTTCACATACACACTGACAGCATGAAAGTTGTGGTTTTCAGAAATGAACAGTAATCTTATAATAATCTTACTGAACTGAACAATAATCTTTTCGAAATACGTTGAAGTTTTTGTCCCCATTAATGAAACAATATACACGGATTTTTAATCTCCTGCAAGTTTTTCTTTCATTTGTCAATTTTATTTTGGAGATTTCTTTTCCCCATTGCAGAGAATTTTATTTTACTTTTCTGAATCTGATTACATCTGGTGAAAATGTCTTTCAGGGTGTATTTTGCACATAGCACAAGATTCATGCACTATGTCGCAATCTTTTCATTGACAACTTGTATTGTTTTCATCAAGTTTTTGTTAGATCAGTCTGAAATAGATGACATAATTACTCATTTATTTACTCATCAGTCATATTATATTTATTTATTGCCAGGTAATGGACGTGGTTTCAATCTAGGTCGTATATGGACTCAAGAAGGTACATTAGCCGTGTCAGTAGCGCAGGAATGTGTCATAAGAAGTGAACCCAAATCTAAACTATGAGAGTCACTTTTTCAAAATGTGGACAATGTATAAATGTGAATATAACAAATAATTTTGTGGGGAACATTCAAATTTAGTGCAAATAACAAAGTACTTAATATGTTGTACGAGACCGAGATCCAATGCACACGTCTTTAGTCTAATGACCATCTCTGTTGAAGCTGAAGACATAAGTTTAAATCTGTATTTACCAACTCCATCCAGGTTTACGCTGCCTTCTGAAAGCCACTATGGATTGCCAAAATGAATGGGTAAAAGAGTGTCAGCAGGCAATGTGTGAACTAATTATTAAACACCATGTTTAAATAAACAATGTATTTATCATCCTGTGCATGTTTTGTACAAGACTTATATCTAATCCCAGTCCCAAATTTGTGGAGGGACTGTGATCTAATGCATGCAACTCCATTCACTTACATGTACTTCACTTAAGTTTACATTAAGAAACAGCTAAATCTAAACCCAAATTTACAAAATATATGCCAAAAATAGAGAATTGAAGATATCATCACAAAATGAACAAATCTGACAGGATTCCACCCAAGGTACCTAATTACCAAGTATCAAGCAATTGGGCGGTTAGTTTTTAAGAAGTTGAAAATTAAATTTTTTATGAAAAACTAAGATATTGCCACAAAATGTGCAAGGCTACATACCATGTATCAAGGCAATTGAGTTGGTTGTTTTGAAGAATTTAAAAATTGAATTGTTGATGGACAACGGAAAATCATAATGATATGAACAGCTCACTCTGTCATCTTTGATGACAGCAGAGCTAAAAAGATGTTTTTGACTTGAAAACCATAAGTACATTTTGTACCTCTGGTGAACCTCATTGATTTGTTCATTTCGTGATGAACAACAGAGCCATCTCAGCCAAGAGGCTGTCGGTGTAATCCCGCTAACAGACAAACAAGCACTACTGATTATAGACGTAATCATGCACAAAATTTACTGGTGCTATGTGCAGGAGTGAATGATTTTGAAGCCTGCCAGTTTGATACAAAGTGAGATTCAACAATTTATAGTTAGTGGGCAGGTCTTATTGCCACTAATAAATATGCCAGCATCTGATCTCAGAGATTATAAAAATCAGATATTTGACTGAATTTAATTTTTGATTAATTTGGTGTTTGTAGGTGCAAAATCCTATCCACTGATATAGTATCTCTTGACATTCAGGGTGCCCTCCATTCTAACGTAGAGTGGTTTGTGATTTTTGCAAGTCAAAAAAGAGAAATAGAAATTTGTGCAAGTCTGTAGGGTTTTCAGCGATCCATACATATTGCATAGCAACATTCCTCATCTGATTTGTCAAGCTGAGAGTACACTAGTTGGAAGCATCTGGTTATGTACGACTAAATCAATAAACTCGTGCCCTATTTTCATAATTATGATATTTTGTCACCAAAATTATTTTCCACTATTAAATCATGTTCTTGATTGTGTCAAAAATCTTTTATTTCTGGTTACATTATTTGGATTTCCCTTGTGTTAGTGCAGCTTCAAAATGGAGATCACACTACAGATATTCTACTTCCTATTGAATTATGTATTTTATACTGTGAAAGGCTGCCAGTTGGAATTATCAGTCTTCATTTATCAATCTAAGCTGATGTCAGCCGTAGCAAGGGTAAATTCAGGCTTGGAGCAATAGGATGAGGGTCTGGAACAAAATAAATTATTGCACATGGTTCGTCTATGATGCAATTTAGGGTCACTATTGTTATTCAAATCTCGGCCGAGACCAGTTGCGGAAAGCAAAGCCCATATTTGACTAGTCAATGAACTAATTATATTAAAATTTCGAATGCATATATTGTTGTGGATGATGCATGATGGGTTGAAAGTATATACATTAATTACCCAAGCATTAAAACCAACTTTCGATTCATATACATGTACATTTTCACTCAGAATATTACAGTAACCGCTGTGAAATTTTCACAGTTCCAAAATTATTCTCAGTCTGAGAGTGTGTTTTTTGGCTCAATGGACCATAGGTCCGCTGAGCCTATGGGATGGGTTTCTGTCCTGCGTCTGTCGTCCGTCTGTCTGTCTGTGCACGACTTCTTCTCAAAAAACGCAGACCCGTTTGACTCGATTTTTGGTGTGTGGATGCCTTGAGTGTTGTTGGTAATTTGTTCATGAGAAGTCAATCTGCCAAAAATTATGCAAATTAGCCCCCCAAAACTCTAAAATTTCTTCTATGCTACTATGACACTAAGTGGTCTACAGTGCTGATATTGATAGAAGACAACCCAAGGCACATGCACTATCAGTTTTGTTAATTTGGTAAGGATATTTTCAAATGGTCATTTTTGGTCAAAAATTCTATTTTCGACTTCTTCTTCAAAACCGGTAGCCTGAATGCTTTGATACTTGGTGTGTATGTACCTTGTGTTGACATCTACTAGATTTGTTCATCCCATGGCCATATCTTTAATTTTCTAATTTTGGCAAATATTTTTGGTTAAAAATGGAATTTTAACTAACCACTATTTCCAATGCTTTGGTGTTAGGCATACACGTGTTTATTATTCCATTGTAATGAAAACATAACCACTCAACATATTTAAATGTGTTTTGACATGATTGATTTTGGTGGAAAATTATGCAAATTGCCTAATTTACATACCAATATTTAGACTATTTTGGCGATATCTTGAGAACAATTTAATATGTTTTAATAAAACTTGGTGCATAGATATGTTGGGGCAGTTTCCAGATACATTTATTTTTTGGTGGAAATTCATGCAAATTATCTAG